GAAAATCAAAATGGAGCAAAGATCTAAATATTAAAACTGAAACACAATATGCTGGAAGAGTGAAACTCTACAAGATATAGTAATAGGCAAGGACTTTATGAACAAAACCCTTGATCACACAGGAAATACTATAAAGAATCAATAACTGGGATCACATCAAATTAAAAAGCTTTTACATGAAAAAGAAACCACTGCCAATAGACTAAAAGGCCAACCCACAAAATGGGGAATCTTCAAAAAGCAAATCTTCAGCCAAGTGTGGTGGCACACGCCTGTAATCCCAGCACTTGGGAGGTTGAGGCAGGAGGATCACTGTGAGTCTGAGACCAGCCTGGGCTACACAGTGAGTTCCAAATCAGTCTCAACTACATAAACAAACAAACAAACAAAGCTAATCTTCAAAGTACTAAATCTAGAATATATAAAGAACTCAAAGATACCAGACATACCCCCGCCAATTTAAAGACCCAATCCGAAAATGGGCACCTGAAGTGAATAGACTTTCTCAAATGAAGATGTACAAATAGGAAACAAATATATGAAAAAATGCTGAACCTCACTGGTCATTTAAGAAATGCAATTAAAACAACACTGAGAGTCCATCTCAATCTAGAAAGAATGGCTATCATCAAGAAGTCAATGAATAACACATCCTGGCAAGGCTACAGAAGAGAGAAACCCTTATTACCCACTGCTGTTGAAAATGTAAACTGGTACAACCAATACGGAAATCAGTGTGGAGATTCTTCAAGAAAATGAAATTAGAGGTTCCATTTGACCTAACCTGTTCCCCTCCTAGGTATCTTCCCGAAAGAGTTAACAGCATCACACCACAGTGATGTATGCACACCCAGATTTATAGCAGAGCACAGTCTATAATAACTAAATCTTGGAAATAGCCCAGGTGCCCATCAACAAATGGATAAAGATGTGGTATTTATATATAGTGTCGTTCTCCTCTGCCAAAAAAGAAGAATAAACCTGAGTTGTTTTTAGGTCAATGGATTCACCTCAAGACCAAAATTTTAAGTGAAATAAATGTGACACAAGAGTTTTAATATTGTATTCTCTTGTGGGTAAACAAGGAGCATCATGAACGACACACTGGGAAGTAAGAAGAACGCGTTCAAATGGGAAGGGTCAACGGGAGAGGGGAAGGGGAAGGGAGAGCAGGGAAAACGAAGAAAGAGCAGAAGTGAAACACGGAAACACAGCTTCCGTGAATGGAGCGCGGGAGAAGGGCTGAAGGGAGGGGATGGGAGGGGAACCGGGAAAAGGAAGAATCAGGATGCACTGTGTACAGGTACAAATCCCCCACGATGACTGTGAGCCGTACGTACGACAACAATGTGAAGACTTTATTCTTTCTTGCCTGTACCAGGGATTGAACTCAGAACCTTGAGCGTGCAGGGAAGGCGCATTGCCACTGAGCTAATCCCCGGCGCCCTGAATGACAACTACGTGGATTTTGTTTTGTTTTTGTTTTTTTGAGACAGGGTCTCACTATGTAGTTGAGACTGACCTGGAACTCACTATGCAGCCCAGGCTGGTCTCAAACGATCCTCCTGCCTCAGCCTCCCGAGTGCTAGGATTACAGGGGTGCATCACCACGCCCGGCACAACTATGTATTAATAAAAAACATGTTAAAAGAATTTAAAAAAATATGCTTTTCCATTGCTCTATGCTATTTCCAAGAATTTAAACTGCTGCACTTGGAGAACAATTCAAAGCCACCCATGACATAGGTCATCATATCAGTAATTCATTCCTTTAATCTCTGCCAGGGACAGAAGGCTCTCAACAAGGTCAGGGCATTTACGATTCGTTCACCGCAGTTCTCCTGGAACGGCCCCCGCCCCCGCCCCGCAACCACTGCTTCCTGAGCACGCAAGCTCTGACCACCCTACAGCTTCTGTTCACCATTATCCCGAAACTTTCCTTTATTGTTTGTTTTCCCACGTGGGATTCCTTGCCTGCTGGATCTCACGTGGCCTTCCTGACGTGCTTTCCAGTTTCTAGTACAATCATGGACAAATCTGACATATGAAACTTGATGTGGCCGGGTGGTTATGCTCACCTGTGATCCCAGCCTGGGCAATTCAGTAAGATCCTGTCTCAAAATTAAAAAAAAAAAAAAAGCCTCCAGGGATGTAACTCAGTGGTTCCGCCACCTGTCTCAGAAGTGCAAGGACCCGAGTTCGATCCCCAGGACCAAAAAAAAAAAAAAGCTAGGGATGTAGCATAATGCAGGCCCTGGGACCCGTATCTTTCGTACCTTATGTGATCAACATTCACAATTTACTCTTCGTACACGGAGTTCGAAAATCTCATACTGCTCTCCAGCCTGGCTTTCTTTCCTGTTCCCGTACCGGGGATTGAACTCAGGACCTTGCGCCTCACTGAGCTAAATCCCTGGCCCTCCTCCTCATCTGTTACAGAAGGCATAGTGAGTCTTTTCAGTCTTCTAATCACATCCTTTAGTTGTGGAATTTTAAAACAATGCGTCTTTGGTGACAACTTCCTCCCAGTTTGTCCCACGTTCTTTTAGGAAGTGTGTGATCCTGAGGTTGGATCTCCTCCCCAGACCCTGAACTTCCACCCCTCACTCCTATCCAGTTTTTGACTTTCCAAAGGGATTTCTTCAGCTTTATGTCTATCCCTTCTATCAATTTTGAAACACATTTCTACTATCGTATTTTAATGCATCATTTTCTGTACCAGGGATCAAATCTGGGACCTTGCTCGTGTGAAGCAGGCGGTGGAACACCGAGCTAAATCCCCAGCCCTGGTTTTTTTTTAACAGGATCAAATTTGTGTGCTTTTGAAAAAATATGGTACACTGTTTATTCAGAGTCCCTGTCTATTCTCATCCAGGCTGGCTACACAGCTTCCACATTGAGAGGGGCATGAGGGCTGGCGATTTAGCTCAGTGGTACCGTTGCCTGCCTCGCAAGCACAAGGTCCCAAGTTCGATCCCTGGTACCAAAAAAAGAGACAGGGGCATGAGAAGGCTGACTGGAAGCCCTGGCCGAGTCTCAGGACTTCCACCGTGGCTATGCATGCGTCATGGCCAGCCGGGACCTTGCCTTTTGGCTCAGGACTGTCCAGACGCTGGTGTCTATATTAGGTCATTCATCCTGGGGCATCAACACCCTCAGTGGAATCCTCAGAAATGAGCATAAACTGCCTCAGCTCTCCAGGATTCGCTCTCAGGTCAGAAGAGGGCTGGGAGTCTCACCACCGACTTTGTTTTGTAGGGCGGGGAGCAGATACCAGGGATTGAACTCCGACCTTGTGCTTGCGAGGCAGGCGGCGGCACGCTGAGCTAAATGAAATCCCCGGCCTCACCATTAATGGGTGCTCCATCCACTATTTCCAGTTAACCCGGATCCTCACCTTCACCTGGGGCTCTGGTCCCTGAGTCCCCAAGTCCCCCACCCCACTCTCCTGCGAGGTTAACCCTCTGCTTTCCGCTGGCCTGGGGAGAGATGGAACCTCGCATTACAGGGTGGGAAGAGAGGGTTGCATTCCTCCTGACACCTCCGACCCCGTTTCCGGCCTCCTCTATGTCCCTGCTTCCAGAGCTCTTGCTATGAACTGGCTGCCCCTGCTGGGTCCCACTGGAAAGGCAAGGTATTTTTTAGCACCGTCTCTGCTGCTAGGACCGGTTCAGGAGTCAGCTGCTTGGCTTCCCCAAGATACGCTGCTGACGTGTCTTCTCTGTCTCCTCCTCTTTTCTTCGTGCGTATATATGGATTTCATTTTCTCCTCTCAGTAGTGGGGCTTAAACCCAGGGAGCAGTGAGCTACATCCCCACCCCTTTTTATTTTTTGAGACATCCGTTATTTATGAAGACTTACTCAGGTTATTTTCCATTTTCTTTTATTTCAAAGCAGTGCAGTTTGCCTTGGTCACGGGTACAAAAATTTCTCTAGACCCAAAAGAGGCACTGACAGTTCAGCACGGTGGCCTACCTGTGATCCCAGCACTCTGGAGGCTGAGGCAGGAGGACTACCGAGAGTTGGAGGCCAGCCTGGGCTACAGAGTGAATTTAAGGCCAACCTGAACTACAGAGCAAATTCCTATCTTAAAAACAAAACAACAAAATAATGGCACAAATATATCTAAAAATAAAATTTATGTGCTATGCACATGTCTAGTTTTGAGGGGCACAGTGTTACTCAAGCAGTTGTAACAATTTGTTCTTCTGAATATAGAAATTCCCTTTTCCTTGTATCTTTTCCAGCAAGAGGCATTTACAACTTTTACTCTGTTGTTCCTACAAGTCTACTGGTGCGAAATAATTTCGCCTTGCTTTCATTTGATCGCTAGTGCATTTGGGCCACGGGGCTTTTAACTTCCTTTCCTGACTTCAGCAGAGCTTGGGATCTAACTGAAAGTCAGCCCCATACGTTTTGATGGCCTCACTCAGACATTACTCTCCGTGTGATCAATACCAAGTCACCTCCCTTACAGGTTCCCGGTTGGTGAACACCCCCTAGGAGACACACTGTCCTACACTGCTCCTCCTAACTGTCGTGTACCTGCATCACCCCACAGGGTGCGAGCACAGGGCCTGTTCCATGCCTATGGCCGAGCTGTGTCACATTACGGTACGGCTGCTCAGCAGGTGGCTTACAGCCCCACAGGAGTATCGCGACAACAAGCCTTACATCTTACTCATTCTGGTGAGCCTTGTCACAATGGACAGAGTGCCTGTGATGGCACAGCCGACACAGGTTTGTGCAGCAGAGTGGCTGTCAGAGGAAGGAAGCGCTTCCTGTGAACCTGTGCATTTAGCACAGTGTCACGTGCTGTGAAACAGGCCTCGCTGCTGTTCCAAAGTCTGCTGCTGATTAACTGGCTGTGGACCCACTCACTGCGACAACGGCGGAAGAGAAGGAAACGCTGACGAACGGGTTCGACATGCAGAGAGCGATACATCTTCAAAAACAATAGGACACATGCTGGAGAAACGGGGGAAGTTCGACAAAATTACCTTCCCTGTCTTTCTGTTTTAATCTTTTTCTGCGCCTGTCTATGGTTGCAACTTCAGACTTCAGAGACATGTAGTATTTTCTGATTTCCTGTAGTTTTTCTTGGAGAAAAGAGATTCTCTCTGTGCTGTTCATGTTATCTAATTCATCTAAAAGGGAGAACAAAGTTAACCGGGATTTAAAAAGAATTCTCCAAGGCAAAAAACATGGTAGTTCTTTTAAAAATTAACAAAAGCTCTTATTTATTAAGGACCCATCACCTTAAGCTAAATGAAGTGCTTTAGAAGACTGGGAAGACATGAGTTAAATTCATTATTAAGCATTGTTTATACAGTCCAGATTTTCTGTGGGCCGGGGATTTAGCTCAGTGGCACTGCACCTGCCTGGCAAGTACAAGGTCCTGAGTTCGATCCCCGGTACCAAAAAAAAAAAAAAAAATAAAAAAAAAAAAAAAAAAAAAAAGTATTACTTAAGTGCTCATAAAAACATAAGAAAATGTCAACGTGAAGCACTATATATTTGTTTGTTTGTTTTTTGGTACCAGGGATAGAATTCGGGTCATTGTGCCTGCAAGGCAGGCAGCGGAAACACTGAACTAAATCCCTGGCCCTGAAGCACTATATAAAGACACTTCAATTTCACTGATTTATAAAATTCGTACACGCTTTGTCATCTTCATGTGCACTTTTATAACACCACCTCAGTAAATGTTACAAGTACACATTTGCATGTAGATAACAAGTTGTGATTACTGACTTGGAATACTTAAGACTTGTTCATTCATTACTCCCTATTTTATGAGCATTAACCCAAGCTGATACTCTTAAGACAGATTCCAGTCTACGATATACATCATGAGCTCCTTACGGAGTTGCAGGCTCCACTTGTACGTCCTGGGGGAGGGAGTGGGGTGCTTTTCTCTCTGCTTCTCTTTCTCTCCGTCTTTGATGTGAGGGGAGATTCTGGCAGGAGACCGCGCAAGCTTTGGTGGCTTAGATACACTGAGATGCTTTACCGGAGTACATTTACTTGAGTTGTTTACGGCAGGAAGATCTTCACTATCACTGCTCTGTCCTGTAACAGGATAGTAAAAGTTTAGAGACCCTTCATAAACCCTCACATAGCAAAGTGCAACAGACTTTGACATTGCACTTCTCAGTATCAGAAAAAAAAAGGATAAATGCAAAGATTACAGCAGTTAAACATGTACCGGTATAAAAATGACTAAAACATTACATATTACTGAACACTGCTGAAGTTGTTAAAAATGAGCTAAATTTCATTAGCACAAAAATGGCAAACATATATATTGCTAAATGAAAAAAGTCATAAAATAATACAGTACTACTCCATTTACATGAAAACAAAATGTAAAAACAATTCAAGCGAGGACCAACTCAAACTATATATAAAGCATACAAAAGATCTTGACAATATATGCCCGACTTTTACTTTTTTTTTTTTTTTTTT